AGCGGTGACGGACCTTCCGGCCGGCGATCTTGGAGGAACGACGACCCATACAGAGAGGAGAAGAAGTCCATATCCTCCTGAATTGACGCTTACTGTGGAGCCTGTCTTCTTCCTCTGGCGCCAACAATGGCGACGCACTGTAATGCGAGACCGAGGAGAGAGAGGAGAGAGAGTTCCTCTTGCTGAACAGGCTGCGGTTGACGGAATTGGCGATGGCTTTGGAAGATAAGCCATATGAGAATCTGTGAAGGATTACTCCTAATGCTCCTCTCATCGAACAGTGCGACGCCATAGTCGTGTGCTCCGAGGAATGGTTGGATTGAGAATAAAGGGAAGAGAGGGAAGTGGGTTTAGTGAAGAAAAAAAAAAGGTCTTTTTTTGTGAGACTATCAAGAAAAAATCCAAAACTTATTTTGAAGGATCAATGGCGATACAACCCTAAATTCCCTTAATGAGACTATCTGCAAGTGAAATCGTATATATTTTTTGTGTGTGTGTAATAAGCAAAATGCATTGTTTTTTTTCTTTCTGAATATGTGTATATTTAATTTGAGAGGCACGGAAAATTTATATATTTCTTTTTAATTATTTAAAGATTGAAAATTTTATAATTATATATTAAATTATGATGGATAATTAGTTAAATAATAAAATTTGTGAAAATAGTTCTCATTTAAAATTAAAGTAAAACTTTTTAATTATTAAAAAAGTACATTTTAACTAAACTAAATTAAATTTTAATTTCAAACATAAAGGTGAAATAGATTGTCAAATTAGAAAAAGTCTATTATTAAAAAAATTAAACATATACTATTTTAATAATATAGTTATTATTTTTTGAAATATTATTTTAATATTTTCTATAAACTTTCTGAATTAGAATGAGTTTTTAAAAGATTATATATATATATGTATGTATATGAATGAGTTTTTTTATGATGATATAGCATTCGATCAAGTGACCCATGAAAAACTTAATCATGATGCACCACACCAAAATAATGTATAATTGAAAGAGATACATGTGATGAATCAAAAGAGGATAGAGAGCGTGAACCATCACCACCATAACTATTTATTATTAAATTATCAACATAAATGTAATTTGCAAAATAACAATTCTCCAATCAATACATACGGACAAACATACATTAGTTGTTACTTGGCTTTTTCAAATTGTCCGAAAGTATATCCTTAATCAAAGCCCAAACTAATTTCGAATTTCGGTGTCAACCATTATCGAACAGATGATTATGGTGTTAAAATAATTTATTTTTTTGTGAATTTTGTCATTGTGTTAATTAATCGAAATATAGATCTAAATGCTACGAAAATCTTTGATAAGAAAAACACACACAAAAAAAGTGTAAACGTAAGTTTAGATACACCTAATTAACAGAATCTATTGTAATTGAACCAGTAGATTATAAAATAAATCGTATTATTTTTGGGAATAGAAAAAAACGAATCTAACTATATTTACAATTAATGTTTAATAGAAAATCAAATCTATTCCGAAAAATTGAACTATATTTTGATTAGTATCATGCAGCTATATTAAAAACTATAAAAATATCTTAGCATTTGCAAAAAGATAACTTAGAATTAAATTTTAAAAAAATATAACTTATAACTATATTTTAAAAAATCAGCTACTAAAAATCATTTATATAATTTTTACAATAATAATTGAGAATTTTATATAAAATTTAGTGATACGTTTATAAACAATATAAACAATTTCATGTTTTATTCTATAGTAAATATAAAAATACATATCGATTCTAATCCAAAATTAGAAATATTAAAACATTTACTCGATTATTATTATTAAAATAATCTGAACATAGAGTAAAATTTTTAACATTTACAATTTTGAATTAGAATATGTATATATATATATAAGAAAACAAAATTTTGTTATATTATTTATAAATTTACCATTGAATTGTAGATAAAGAATTTTTTATTAAAATAAATTTGAATTAGCATATATTCTAATAGATAATTACAAATTCTTGTAGAATCTTCCTATATATTACTCGGTAACACATTGAATTTGTAGTATTCAACCTGTTCTAGATCGCACTTGCGTTAACAAAATTTATTGACAAATTAAAAGAAAATTCTTAGTTAAAAAATTGACTGGTGGTGCAATCCAACTCTATTGACCGCTAATACTTAAATTCGTATTCAATGACATATTTTATTAACAAAATTATTGTTATTATTATTATTTGAAAAAGTTTTGGAATTTGAGTAAATGAAAAACTAACAAGTTCTATTTACTTAAAAATGTAAGAATTACATTCAATATACAGACGAAACTCCTCCCGAGTTTTTCCTTTCTCACAATGAATTATGTTGACAATTGAACATTAACTGATTTTATTATGCGCTATTATATGTTTTTTAGTTTAAATATAGGGAATAATTTTCACCTTAATTTATTTTTTTGATTATTGTTATGTTTTATTCAGTGTCTATTAAAAATTCTTTATTTATATTTTACAAACGTATCAATATTTTTAATTACATATTATTAAATTAAATCCAATTTATTTTCCAAACACAAAACCCATGCGATTTGATTGCTCGTATTTTATCATAAGAACCAGAAATAACTTGGAATACACATGGAGAGTTTCTAAAAATAGATAATAAACTTTATATATATATATATATATAATACTATAATATAAGTATATAACGTATTATTTGATAAAAGGGAATGTTAATATTCCAAAGAAAAAGTAAAAATGTGAGAATTTTGTGGTCCAATTTGTCCGCAGGAAACAAGGATCACGAGATGAGACCATATCCAACCTGTTCTTCGGCCTTTCATGTTCCACCCCCCTTTAATTTAATTTAATTTTCCCCGGATGCCCAAACTAATTACGTTTCAATTGCCTTAATTTGATAATCAATATAATCATACTTAATTTCCTATTATGTCAATGGATTAAGTTCTCCCATTAGATTGTATTCATTATTGAATTGATAAATTGACAATGTAGAGAATTTTTTATGTCATTTTGTAGGAATTTTTTTTTACCATATACGATCCAAATAGATAGAAAAATATTATGACTTTAATTCAAATAATATTTCTGCTCCGCTTTTACCAAAATATTATCGGGATTAAAATTGGTATATTCTAGACGCTTTAAAAATTCAGCTATTGAATTCGTAACATGAAAAAGTTTTGGGGCTATCTCGAAAGAAAAAAAAAGTCGGGGTTTTTCGTTGGCTTTATTCAACTAAACGCATGCAATAAATAAATAATATATATATATGAAGTATTGTAATTCAAACGAAACGAAATTACCAGAATGCCACTGCTCTCCTCATTTTCGTCAGTGTTCTTATAGTTCGTCTTGCTCGTCCTCTTTCTCTCTCTCTCTCTCTCTCTCTCTCTCTCTCTCTCTCACACACACACACACACAATGGCTCACCTCTTCAGAGAATTATCTCTGGGCCAGTCCAAGAGAGAGACCACTCCGCCGCCGGAGACTTCCCGATCACCGTCGATGGCCTCCGATCTGCCTCCGTCTCCGCTCGGCCAGCTCGCCGCCCAGCTATCGGATTCCGATCTCCGCCTCACCGCCTACGAGATCTTCGTTGCCGCATGCCGCACCTCCTCTGGCAAGCCTCTGTCATCCGCCGCCGCTTCCGTCACCGCCAATCCCGACTCGCCGAGTGGCACATCCCCGAATCTCCAGCGGTCGCTGACGTCAGCCGCCGCGAGCAAGATGAAGAAGGCGCTTGGGTTGAAGTCGTCTTCTTCTCTCTCGCCTGGATCTAAGAATAGTCCTGGTTCCGGATCGGGTTTTGGTTCCGGTTCCAAGGGGAAGCGCCCGGCAACTGTCGGCGAGCTCATGCGGATCCAAATGCGGGTGTCGGAGAACGTCGATTCGCGCGTGCGCCGGGCTCTTCTGAGGATCGCTGCAAGTCAGGTTAGCTCAATTTCCAGTGTTGAATTTCGTTCTTGCGGTGTATGTATATGCCAGTGGCTGGATCTGTGGGATTCGGTGAAGCTCATTTTGGGTTTTGACTCTGTTCAAATTTAACTTCCTTTAGCCGATCTCTTCCTGGATAGTGCCAATTGTGCTCAAAATACAATCTGAGCTTAAATTCGTACGACTTGACATCCATTTCATGATTTGGTGATATATTTGGCAGTCAATAAATAACAATTCGATTTGGTAGGGCAATTAATTCATCCTTGATTAGGAAAACTTGGGATGATTTCAACTCTGTTGTTTCAAAATTCAACAGGCTAACTTCAATAGCAGTTCTTCTCAGATCTATATCTTTGGTTCAAAAATCTCTCTCTCATTCGAATTCTCAGAAATGGGTTTCCTTGATATCATCTATTACCTGTAGCTTGATTTTTGTTTTCTTTTCATTGCTGTCAAGCCATGTGATGCTTATTTCTATATCGGTGTTTGTATATTAGCTTGAGATTTTGTCGGTGCAGTGTTTATGGGTATAGTACGGGTAATGTGTTTTTTCAGGTTGGAAGGAAGGTGGAGTCAGTGGTTCTTCCCATGGAACTGTTACAGCAGTTGAAATTTTCTGATTTTACGGATCAGCAAGAATATGATGCATGGCAGAAGAGATCGTTGAAGGTTCTCGAAGCAGGTCTTCTCTTGCATCCTCGTGTGCCCCTCGATAAGGCTAACACTTCTTCTCAGCGACTGCGGCAGATAATTCACGGGGCTTTAGACAGGCCTATGGAGACTGGACGGAACAATGAACAAATGCAAGTGCTTCGATCATCTGTCATGTCTCTTGCCATGAGATCTGATGGGTCTTTCTCTGAGTCCTGCCACTGGGCTGATGGCTCTCCGTTCAATCTCAGGCTATATGAAATGCTTTTAGAAGCATGCTTTGATTCTAATGATGAAACATCAATGATTGAGGAAGTTGATGAACTTATGGAAAACATAAAGAAGACATGGGTGATTCTCGGAATGAACCAGATGCTTCATAACCTTTGCTTTACATGGGTTTTGTTTAGCCGGTTCGTTACTACCGGCCAAGTTGAAATGGACCTGCTTTATGCTTGTGAGTCTCAGCTATCTGAAGTAGCAAAAGATGCAAAGACAACAAAGGATCCCGAATACTCTCGAGTTCTAAGTACTACATTGAGTGCAATACTGGGTTGGGCAGAGAAAAGGCTTCTTGCATACCATGACACATTTGACAGTGGTAACATTTATACAATGGAGGGCATCCTTTCTCTGGGTATTTCAGCTGCAAAGGTATTAGTTGAAGATATTTCTAACGAGTACCGTAGGAGGAGGAAAGGAGAAGTTGATGTAACTCGTACCAGGATTGAGACATACATCAGGTCGTCACTACGAACTGCATTTGCTCAGGCAAGTAATTGGGTTGGCATTGTGGAAAAAAGTAATATGTTTCCCCTTTTTATTTCTTATTGAAATTATTTTACGATCTTTTTGTAATTTATCTGTAGAGAATGGAGAAAGCAGACTCCAGCAGGAGAGCATCCAAAGGCCAGCATAATCCTCTTCCTGTTCTTGCTATCCTTGCTAAAGACATTGGCGAGCTTGCAATTCATGAAAAACGGGTGTTCAGTCCAATACTGAAGAGATGGCATCCTTTTGCCGCTGGTGTGGCCGTGGCCACCCTCCATGTTTGTTATGGAAACGAGATAAAACAGTTCATATCCGGTATATCTGATTTGACACCTGATGCTGTCCAAATACTAAGAGCTGCAGATAAGCTGGAGAAGGATCTCGTTCAAATTGCAGTTGAGGATTCTGTTGACAGTGATGATGGCGGCAAAGCAATTATTCGTGAGATGCCGCCCTATGAAGCTGAGGCTGCTATTGCCAATTTGGTTAAGGACTGGATCAAGGTGAGAATAGACAGACTGAAGGAATGGGTTGACAGGAATTTGCAGCAGGAGGTTAGTCCATTCTTCTTTTTCTGAACTAACGAGTCGGTTTGGTAACTGTTTATCCGAAGCTTCAGTACTACAATATGTCATTTAGCTGAAGAGAATGTCCTAGTTTGAATGTGTATTGCTTCAGTTCCGGTCCTGACATGTCCTCCAATCTCTTCGAAACAAAATCATGAAAGATTTCGCACTCATCAGGGGATTGATCTTGGCCAGAAGCCCGGACTGAGTCAACATTTTTTTTAAATTATACAGGTCTGGAATCCAACAGAGAACCAAGGATATGCACCATCTGCTGGTGAGGTACTGAGGATCACCGATGAAACCCTGGATGCGTTTTTCCAGCTTCCCATACCCATGCACCCGACCGTATTACCCGATTTGATCGTTGGTCTAGACAAATATCTTCAGTATTATGTCACGAAAGCGAAATCTGGTTGCGGTAAGTTCACGTGTGATCTGGTGATATCTTCTGCTTATATACTGCAGGAAGAGACCTCGGTTTATATTTTGAAATCCTTCTTCTGATGCGTAGGTTCTCGGAATACATACATGCCCACGATGCCTGCTCTGACCCGATGTACAACAGGATCGAAGTTCTTTAAGAAAAAGGACAAATCACCTCCATCTCATAAGAGAAATTCGCAGATCGCAACGGTGAGTGCAGAGAAATCCTATGGGGCCACCCAGATTTGTGTTAGGATCAACAGCTTGCACAAAATCCGAAGCGAGCTCGATGTTTTGGAGAAGAGAGTGATCACTCATTTGAGAAACTGCGAATCAGCTCACAAAGACGACTTCTCAAACGGGTTGGGAAAGAAGTTTGAGCTCACACCGGCCGCCTGCATCGAAGGTGTGCAACATCTCTCCGAGGCTTTGGCTTACAAAGTCGTGTTTCACGACCTAAGCCATGCCTTATGGGACGGTTTATACATCGGAGACCCATCGTCTTCGAGAATCGAGCCTTTCATCAAGGAGCTAGAGCAGAACTTGACAGTTATAGCCGACACCGTACACGAAAGGGTCAGGACGCGCATCATAACGGACATCATGAGGGCATCATTTGACGGGTTCTTACTGGTTCTTCTCGCGGGAGGACCCTCGAGGGCTTTCACCCGACAAGACTCTGAATTCATAGAGGAAGATTTCAAGTCTCTGAAAGACTTGTTCTGGGCGAACGGAGACGGTCTACCATCCGACCTCATTGACAAGTTCTCGGTCACGGCCAGAAATGTGCTTCCCCTGTTCAGGACGGACACAGAGAGTCTGGTGGAGAGATTCAAGAGCGTGACAACGGAGACTTACGGCTCGTCGGCAAAGTCAAGGCTCCCTCTGCCTCCGACTTCAGGTCAGTGGAACCCAACCGAACCAAACACTCTCTTACGCGTTTTATGTTACCGCAACGATGAATCTGCCACGAAGTTCCTCAAGAAGACGTACAGTCTTCCCAAGAAACTCTAGTCATGGCGCCATCTCTAATCTACAGTCACTGAAGAAGATGTTGGGTTTTACTGCATTGGCGTGTTTGGTCGGATTCTGTGTCCTGAAGGGACAGAAGTCAGAGAGAAGCATCATCTTTGATCTGTATAGAAAGCAAGAGTTGTTCTTTTGAGGCTCATCATATATACATATTATATAGAGGTGCTATTATATATTCTTTTATATGATTTGTTATTTGTTTGGAGAATACAAGGATAAATCACTTGTTCGTTGTTCTTTTCAAAGCTTGATATGCTTGTTGATTTTCTAGTAATCTCTCTTCAACAGTTTGGCTCTTTCTTTGGGTATACAACGAATGGGTTTCACAACAAATGTTCCTCCGATTAGTTCTGAACCAACCTAAAACACAAAACAGAGTTTGGATTCAGACAGAAGAACAAATATCATACAGACAAACCTGACATTTCGATTGAGTTTCCGATCGAAGAAAAATCCAGAACCCGGGGATCAAAAGACGTTACCAGTTTCGGTTTCGGGTTATAGATGATGAGTTTTCGGTTCAACATTCGTCCAGAATGGCACGACCAAGATTGGTAGCAAGAGCGAGCCTGACCGAACCAACAGCTTGAGGAGGCAAGTCAGGTTCGGTGAAGCCACCACCAGGTCGTAGCCTTACCATTGATAGTTCTTGTAGTTTGTTCAACAACAGGTTGGTCTGAGAGACGTTGAGCAGAGGGCAGTCCGACCAGTTCAGAAGCTTCAACTGTTCGTTTTTCGGAAACACAGATTTCAAGATTAAGGCAATGGGTAATGTAATGGTCCGTTTTTTTTCTGGGGAATCTAAGAAGGAGGTTTTGTTCTTTGGAAGGAAAGAAAAAGCTTACCGAATCATGCAGAAGAGGCAACCAAAAGTGTGGGGGCGTAGTCGGGTTCTTCATAAGCTGCAAGAATTTACAACTCGAATGATTTGAATGCTCGTTTTTTCGCAACAATGGAAAGTTTCTACAGGTTTTCGAAAGCAAGTGAAGATACACACCGATACAAGTAACTCCACTGCTTCCCGGGCAGCATTTGTATTTTTTTCATCTTGGACCAGCCTCAGTGATCTCTTGAAATCCCTGTACCTGTAAAAAGCACGGAAAGTCGGGGAAATAATGAAAAACCGAAAATTTATACAGATCCAAATTATTACGGAAATCGGAGAGATATATTAGGGGTCGGTGAAAAGAAACAGATACTTGTGTAAAAAGTCAAGACCGCCAGCAATTTGTGATTCAGAACCCAACAACTCAACCAGGCCTTCCCATTGCTGCATGTTTGAAAAGTTCAGCTATTCACAAAGCGAACTGATACCCAAGACGATAACATAAAAAAAAAAAAAGAAAAGGAAATACGACTTGTGGAAACTCAGATTTTGTTGCTTATGGCTGAGAGAACAGTACCTCAAGACTTTCATCGGAAAGTGACTTCCCCACAGAATCAAAAAGCTGCTGAGAAATCCTGTTGAGACGATGCTCATCTCCTGCTTGTTGGAGCCAGAAAATCCCCGAACCTTTCTTACCGTGTTTCCAGTGATGCACTCCAGCAATCTGAACACGTTAACTCTCTTAAGAACAAGATCGTTTTAAGAAAATCGGGCCCTATCACTGTCATTGACAATTGAATTCTGCGAGAAGAGAGATAAAAGAAATTGTAGCTGCAATCACTAGACATATCTCTACCTTCATAAGTTTGGCTCCAACATTGTTGAGTTCATATAGACGGCAAATCTCTAGACTCTGCATCATAGCAAACATAACTGCAAGATTAAAGGCCTCTGAAAAAATCCTGGAATATTAAGCAAAAGCAAAATGTGATGTACAGACAAAACCAAACAAATGTAAAACCTTAATAAGTAACTGATCGAGTTGAACGTGCTGCCTGTAGAACAACATTTCTAATAATCCCAATCCCTGTTTTTCACATGATGCCAAGTAAACTGGAGCTATCTGCAAAATTCAATACTCAAAAGGACGTACTTAATATAACCAGAAGTGTATATATACACGTGAACGGTATCGGTCAGATTGCAATTGTAGTAAAATTTGCTTGCTCAGACCTGCCAAGTCAAGGCATGTGAAGAAAGAACTTGAGCATAAACAAGTCTATTAAGCTCTTCTATGGTAATTCCTCCCAGATTACGTTGCTCCTCGTGTAGGAAAATTTCTCCTTCATCGTTTCCAGCTGTCAACAATTCCATGGCATGGGCAACCATCCTACAACCAAATACGGAAAGAACAGTCCCTGTCAGTACAGAACCTATAGCATACCCATAGAACACAAATGGAATCAAACAATGGCCAACCAGGAACCAAATCCTTTGGAACATTCCGCTAGTACAACCTGCAATGATTGTGATTCTATACAGGATTAGAGGTTGACAAAAAGCCGAGAAAGGTATTCAATTATGTAGGGTAATACATGTTGACTAAGTCTAAGATGCATTTCTTACCTCGGCATTTTCTCCAAGAATTCCAATAAGTAGTCTCATCAACTTATGGGAACCATTGAATGGTTTCAACTGAATGCACTTCTGAGCAAGGCTGTGCATGCTATCTAATCCCTGGATCAAGAAATGTGATTAAAAAGCTGCACCAGTTTCCAGTTAACTGCCCGACAAGGATAGTATCCAACAATAAATTCAAGGAGTAGAGCATTTTACCGTCGTGAAGGGCCTGACATATAGAAAGTGCGAAACAAAAAGCTCCATCCAATTACTTGTAGCAGCTGAGAGGCAATCGGTGTTTCCCATCATGACTTTCAACATATTTCTCAAGCCCTCCCGGGTCTGATGGTGAGCACATTGAACCCAAAAGGCACTGCACTCCAGCTTAGTAATCTGAGCATGCCATTTTTCCCGAGTCTGCCAAAAGAGTAAAAAAATAAGCCACGACCTAAAAGACGCTAAGAAAGAAATAACAGTGCATCTTTCAAACTCAAAACTACCTTCATAAAGTCAGGCTTTGCTGGGAAGCATTCACCAAACTTCCCAGCTTCTTGTTGTGGACGCATCCGTGGCATTTTTGAAATAAGCACAGCTATAGCCTCAACCAGACCATTTTCTATCTATTTCATAAAGTTAGTAACACATGATGGATGATTCAGAATCCTCATACATATAACATTATTAGGAAGCTGAATGTATTCAATATGGCATCATTCTCAAAAGCGAATAAACTTTTTGTCTTACCAACCTCACGATTTCCTAGCTGATCTAGTTGATAAGAACCATGCAAGTGCAATAACTTCACCTGAAAATAAGAAGTACAGGTACCAGATTTCACATCATTACCTTTTTCAAAATCAAATTAAGCAGAAACCATTATTCCGATAAATACGAACCACTATCTCTAACCAACCAACGGACAGAGCAGAAGACATCACTTCCCAATATCTTGGATCATCCTCTACGACCTGCAGAGAAACACATAAATTCAACAAACAATAAAACTCAGTTCTTTAATCACTTAATAGCTGAACAAACTGAAACAGCAGGTACCGTACACGTTACAACCACTGCAAAAGGTTCTATACTCATGCACACCTTAAGAAACAGAACTGAAAAATTATCTAACCTGTAGGCCAACAAGTTCATTCTGGAAATCCACAAGCTTCGAGTAAATAGTTGGATGTGAAGATGAAAAGAGGATATCATAATCCTGCAACAAAATAAAATCATCAGTAAGGATTTCTAGAATGTGCAAGCTTAAATTAGATTGACCGTTGGACAAAACTATTTACAGCAAGCCAGTCAACAAGCTGTTCTGGCAGCCAAGATAGAGACGGTTTGTCTGCATAAAATATTTCCATCAGCTCCCATGCAGCCTTCAAAGAAGTCGGTTGCTCGGCAGTCTACGTATATATTTAAGACAAAATCCGTTAAGAAAACTTGTAACCTAAAATCCATACAAGCAAGAAACAAAATTAAGATGAAATAGAAAGCACATTTGATTAGAGCTCAATAGAGCTAATCACTACTGCAAAGGGAAGAACTGGGAAAAAGAAAATAACCTTAACAACTGCTTTAGGGTCTTCAATCAAAGGCGCTCCCGAAGATTTTGAACTACAAAGGAGCGATTTAATGTCCTTGCTATACTCCATTACGTATTCCCACCTGATAACCATGTATCATGATCATTAAATAACACATACCCCCAAAATGCACCTGAGATATCTAAACATCAGTTGTAGTCTTTGGATTTGCCATATATCAATGGTGAACAAATAAACCAGCGTTGAATCTGATCAGCCTCTAATCATCCAAAAATATTAATATCATCATCCAGGTGTGGACACGTCGAGAAGTGGCAAAACCGGTTCAACTTTGAACGGCCAAAATCTGATATTGTCCTAACAAAAGAGATACACAATGGAGTTCACTGAAAGCGAAAATTCTAACCGCAGCTTACTCAAGTTTCAACTTTTCCCCAGAAACTTATCTTCCAGTGAAATGAAAACCTTAGAAAATCAAAAACCATCTTCCCGTTTTTGTGTTTTTCAGCATTTTCCAGAGACTTTCTCAGCAGCCATACATATACAACACTGAAAAACAGCAACAGAACAGAAAATTCGAGATTCCTCACCACCCATTTTGGTACTGAGAGGGACTAATATTCATCTTCGACAAACTGGAAAACGCGTTCTTCCTACTCTGCAGAAGCGCAAACGGAGAAACCGAACCATAAGCGATCCTCCGCCACTGCGCCTCCCCGATCTCATCATCTCCGCCGCCAAGCCTCACGTTCAGCACCTCCCCACCAGCTTCCCCGTCTTCATCGCACGATTTAGGCCGCCGCAAAACTGTGACGCGCAGGTTGTTGCCGCATCCCCACGAGATGGAGAGCCGATGAACCGGAGACTTGAGGCCGTGACAGAGAGGATACACAGCCGGAGCTTGCGTCTCTGCCGCAAACGGCACCAAGTCACCGCCAACACTGCTGACTCCGGTGCCGGATTCCGGCGACATGCCTGGCATCTCCGGAGCTCAGACTGAAAACGTCAGTTAGGGTTTTAGTTTGGCGAGGGAATGGAAGAGAAAGAGTTTTGGCCGAAGGAAACCCAGGGAGCAAAACGCACCGTTTTGAGCGTGCTTAAAGTTTGTTCTGGTAATGCCCCTGAAGTTTTGAGCGTTTACTAATTCGGTAGTATAGTTTTGAAAATTACATTTCTTACCATTTGTTGATTTTGAGTTAACCAATCTAGAAAAGATATATCTACTACCACGCAATAATTTTTCTGAATCAATAGGCAAGTGCATTCCATCTTATATGGCATTGGACGTTTTGTCACATTTTTTTCGAAATCAAACCTTAATGAACCAAAAAATATAGTATTTTTTAAATTGAATCGTTTACGGTAAATTTTTAGAAAACGAAATTTTTTGAAACCAAATCGAACCGAATTTTAAAAAAATCCGAAAAACCGATTTTTTTTAATCTAAATGTTTTAAAAAAAAATCGGAATCGAACTGAATCAAAATCGAACTGAACCGAATATGATATAATAAACGAATGATAAATATTTTTATAAAATCGAAATAATCGAACCGGAACCGAACTATTTTTGAACCGAATACCGAAGTGTTCACCTCCAATATTTACCATTTTGAAGGATATGTAGAGATAAATGTAAAAATTATAGGTTTTTTAAAATTTTGTTACGATGGCTTTTTCTGATATTTATCTATATTTTAATTTAATTTTGTAATATTTCTCTAAGTTTTTGTTTTCATCATTTTAAGATTCGATTTATATTTTTTTATCTGATTTAATTCGAATTAGCTTGCAACAACTATAGCTAGTGACCATCAAAACGGTCAAAGAATGAACAATTGATTGTACCATACCATCGTCACAATAACCAAAGTGTAGAAAAATAAAATGCGGAAATAAAATAAGACAAATAGAAACGAACGGAATTACTTTTATTGCTACATCTCTTCTTCTTGTTGTTGAATTACAATGAAAATGACTCACATATTTATAGGAAAACTATGAGACAAATAAAAAGGAAATAGAAATAAATAAGATCGATACACAATATTTGATATAATATTATGTCCATTATTATTTCTAATCATATCTTAAAATCAATATTTCCTTCAATCACATATTTATTTTCCTATTTCAACATTCCCCTCAAGATTGATTTTGAAAGAATGCAAAAATCAATCTTGAAAAGATAATGCGATAAAAACCCATAGATATTTTCATTGTCTTTTGAAAAATTCATAAACACCAAATTTAGTTCTTTTAGAGAGTATTACCCATTTTCAAATCACTTCGCTTGACTTTGAAGTTCTACCTTTAACTCTTTTTGTCATAGCACCTCGCTTGATCTTAGAGTTTTTAGATTTGACTTCTTTTTGTCATAGCACCTCGTTTGATTTTGGGTTTTTACTCTACTTTGAACGATTTGGATATATGAATATCCAAAACTAAAAAAAAAA